GGCGGTGAAGGCGCTGGTCTCCCGCAGCCAGTGGGGGGCAGCGCCAGGCTCAGGCTCCCGGCAGGGGATGCTCACCTGGGGCTTGGACGCACCCCCAGATCTCAGGTAGCTCCAAGTCCCAAATGCCCATACACGTCCCCAGATTCTCTTCTGGGGTCCCAGATGCTCCCAGGTGCCCAACTGGGTACCAGATATTCCCACGGGACTGGATGCTGGGTACTTGATGCCCAGCAGGGTAGAAGAAACCCCCTGGGTCCTGGATGCAACCCCCCCACACACTGAATGTCACCAGGTCCCAGATGCTCAACTGGTACCAGATTCTCCTCTGGGCACTGGATGTTCCTGGGTCCCTGATGCCCCCAGTTCCTGGCAGCCCCCCATACACCCCACGCCACCCACGTCCCAGATGCCCCCAGGGTGCCAGCTGGCCCTGGTAGTGGTGACACTTTCCTTCCCTCAGGCCGACGTGAGCAGTGAACGGGCTGTGAGGACAGAGGATGGAGCATCGCTGGCCAGGGTGAGCCATGCCCGGGTCTAACCCAGCTGCAGCCCCCCCAGGCAATCAGACATCACTCAGGGTCCCCATGCAGCTGTGCCATCCCCTCTGCTGGGTCTCCAGACCTGCTGGGGTCCAGCAGGGCCAGCGAGGCAGCCACTTGCACGTGAAACCTGGGGCAAGACAGGGCAGGGACAGCACCTTGTGCCTAAGTCTCAGCCAAGGGATGAGTCGGGGGGTGCAGGGCATGTCTGGGCTGACTGCTGACGGGCTGTGCTGCCCTTGCAGGAGTACGGGGTGCCCTTCATGGAGACCAGTGCCAAGACGGGCATGAACGTGGAGTTGGCCTTCCTGGCCATTGCCAAGTGGGTACTGGCTCCACCGCTGCAGGGAGCTGAAGCAGCGCGCGCTGCAGCCGCCGGACGAGCCCCGCTTCCAGATCCACGACTACATCGAGTCACAGAAGAAGAAATCTGCCTGTTGTGCCTTCTCCTGAGAGAGGCCAGGAGGAGCTGGCAGCCCCCAGGGTGCAGGCAGGGTGGGGGCACAATCCTGTCGTCGAGCGCCCAAGGGAATAAGGACTCTGAAAAGCCAAGAGGGGACAGGACAATGCAGCAGTGGGAGCGTGCATGAGGAGAGAGCCCCAGCACCAGCATCCAGGGGCTGGATCCTGCTGCCCTGAGGGGCAATGCCTGGAGCACACCATGTGCAGCAGAGGAATAACAGCAGTGATGCCTGCCAGCCTGGCCAGTGAGCCCCACTGCTACCTCCACACCCGAGCAGGGTGCAGGATACAGCCCTGTGCCTGGCTGAGGGACCCTTGGGACAGCTGGAGGGGCTGTGTTGTGTGACATGGCTGAGCCCCTGCACAGCCCCTGGCCCTGTCCTCCCCTGCTCTCAGCACTGCTCTTGTCTAGCTGGAAGTGCCTGATCCAGCCCCTTGTATCCCTGGAGATGCCCTCCAGCCACAGCTCAGCCCCCCTGGAGCTGCCCCATGCTTGGCTGTGGCACCTTGCTGCTGTGATTGCTGCTGTTGGCTTTTATGCTCCTGCCATCACGAGGGCAGCAATGTCCCTGTTGTGTCCTGGTTTGGGCTTGGGAAGTGTCTGGCCAAGCCTGCTCCCTGCCCCTGCAGCGGGTGTGAGAAATACAGCTCCCCTGGGAGTGCCTGGGCCACAGTTGGGGCACTTCTAGCACACACAGCAATGTGGAAAAACCTTTGTTTCCCCTCTCTTGTAGCCAAAGGAATTAGAGACTTTTGTTGTTGTTGTTAAATGAGAAAAGCCTTTTTCTTTTCAATCCCCCCAGACAAAACCATCTCCGGCCTCCCTGGAGCTGGAGCTGCTGGGGAGGAGAGGGCCACGGTGGCCTGGAGCAGCAGCTGGATGCCAAGGCAGGCTGGGTTTCTCTCCCAGCACTGCACATGTAATGCCACTGTTCCTTCGTGCTGCTGGCAAAAAAAAGCAGCTGAAACCCACTCTCTGGAGAGCAGATGCCTGAGATGCTTCAGCCAGAAAACGCTGCTACATTGGCCACTGGCAGGTCCCATGATCCTGCATATCCCTGTGCTCTGTCTGCTCTTGGGTCTCTCTTTGCAAGTTTACAGAATAAAGCTGGGTATTTTTGAGGCTTTGCATCTGCCTGTTTTGTTGGTTTTTATTGTGTGAGAAATCCCTGCCCCGGGTCTGCAACGTGGGAGGCTGCTGAGCCCTCTGCTGCTGCAGAGCAGAGGGGCTGGGGGGCCCTGGCAGCAGCAGTGGGGAGGAGGAAGCACCCACAGCCCCTTCCTCCCTGCCGATGCTTTCGTTGCACATTTCAGACAGTCCAAAGGTGAGAGGGTAAGTGTAAACATGGCCTGTTAAATTAAAACCAACCTCCTCCCCTGCTGTTCTCATGGTGCGGAGTCCAGCATTCCCCAAATAACTCCGTCTTCCCACCAATGGCCTTGCTGCTGCTGCTTGGCTGATGTCTGCAAAAAAAAATGCTGGATGGCTTCAACACAAACAGACGCTGGCTCTTCTCTGCTTTCCCCCCTCCAGCCTGAGCTCCCTTCACCTCACGCCCCGCCGGGGGCAGGAGGAGGCAGGAGGAGGCAGGAGGAGGCAGGAGGAGGCAGGAGGAGGCAGGAGGAGGCAGCAGGAGGCAGGAGGAGGCAGCTGAGGAGTCAGCTCAGGTTCAAGGCTCTGCCCTTCACCCCGCCAGCCCTCGGGTGCTGCCGGAGGTTTGCCAGCCCAAAATCAGCTCCGGCTGTTTCCTTTGCTGCTGCCACTCTTCCTTATCGCGGTGCTGTGGTCAAACCAGCCCTCTCGGAGCTGGGTTTTGTTTCCGTTCCCAAAAAGCAGTGTCCCCTCCCTGTGCCCTCCCCCTCAGGACACGCACGTGCGGGGCCGCTCACTTGCCAAGGGGAGGGGCGTGGCGCGCCATGGACCCCCCTCCTGCCTCTGCCACCCTCGTCCTGGACCCTGTTGTGACACGCTTGCCCTGGTTTTCCTCTCCGCCAGCATCTGCCGCTGCCCGCCGTGGGATTCCTCTCTGCCGCCTTTCTCAGGGCCGGGCAGCCGTGGGCAAATGCTCAGCCGAGTGGAGGAAACAAATGAGCCCACCCTCTGCTCCCAGCTCGGCCCCCGAGGAGCCGGAGCGTGACAAACCCCCCACCCCCTCCCCAGCACGTGGGGGGTTTCTCGGCCAATGGGGTCCCCACAGCAGGGCTTGGGTGCAGAGCCCCCAGCGAGGGACCCTGCGGCATCCTGCTGCTGTCACCCGGTTCCTCACCCAGCTGAGCAGTTAAACGTGATCCCAGCTGCTCAGGGGACCTTTGGCCGGCTCGAACACCCTCCATGCCACCTTCTCCATGCCAGTCCCGGAGCTCCACCCGGCCCCAGCAGCCCAGACTTGCTGCCACCTTGCTCCGCCCTGTTGACCCATCACCTTGGATCTCACACCTTCAAAAGCCCCTGCAGCCACTTCCCAGTGGCTTCCCAGGCGGTGAGCAGAGCCTGGGGGGGCCTGGGGCGGTCAAAATGCCCCCGGCTTTCCGCTGTCTCCCTGTCGTCACTCCCCCCGGCTGCAGGGTGCGGAGCAGGGGTCTGGTCGGGGAAGCAGGGGCTGCTCTCTCCTTTGCACCCCGCATTTTTAGCTCTCTCACTTTCGCCGGCAAGCACGGGCTCCTCCTGTGCTGCTTTCCCACGCAGTTTCAGTTTGGTTTCTTTATTTCGCTTTATGGAGATGGGGACATCTCTACAACCCTGTACCTCGGAGCAGCACCCAGGCTCCCAGTGTCGCTCAAGGCCCGGGCAAGAGAACAGGCAGGATGGGCTCCGAGGGGCTGCGGCTGCGCCCCGGGACAAACGGAGG